TTTTCTTATTTGACAAGATGCATTCATAAGAATATTAAATATCCATTCATGAAGTTACTTTTTCTCAATAAAAAACATTGAATATCGAATTTTTTTAGTTGAAAACATAATTTGGTATTTAAAGAAATGTTATTTTTTTTGTATCTTTAGATAACTGAGGAAACTACTCAACAACATCGTTTTCTTGTTCGTTCTCTTGGCTGGACAACGATTGATGAAGAAGATTTAACAACTGAACGAAGTAGTCGTGCTGTAAATCGTTGTATTTATGAATTAACACGTGGTATTAATGATGGTATTGGTCGTTGGGGTGAAGGAAAAGATCTTTATATGGATATTAATAATACAGATTTACTTTTAATTGATCCAACTGAAATGACGATTCTACATAAACAATCAATACCATCAATTCGAGTTTGGGGTGTTGGAAGAGAAAATTCAAGGTTTTATTTTATTTAAGTAAAAAAAAAATTAAATATTGATTTATCTTTCTTTCAGAGATTTTGCTTATGTTGCTAAAGATAAAGATCGTTCAACACGAATTTATAAATGTCATGTTTTTCGATGTGATAATACATCGGCTCGAACAATAGCTAATACATTACGTGATATATGTCGAAATTTAATGATTGAACGTGGATTATTAAGTAAAACAACTGAAATTTTAAGTGATGATTTATCTCAACATAAACGGTTATTGATAAGACAAGAAAATAAAAAATAAAAATTTATTTATTTTTTTTTTATAGATCAAAATCTTTTCCGGAATCGATTACAAATGATATGCCAAGTAGGAAAGATTTATTTTTAATATATTCTTTGGTTTTTTTTTTCTTTGAAATATTAATTTAATATTTTCAGTTTCATTTCCAACACCAATGCAAGAAACAACAAATAATCTATCATGCACTTATTTGGGTTGTGTTTTTGTTGAAAAACCAGGTGGAATGGATATATTACGACCAGCTGTTGAAAAAGTTTCAAAAACAGTTCCTGAAGATAAATGGCTTTCAGTTATTGTTAATATATCTCCATCATCATTTACAATTTCTTATGATAATGTACGTTTTATTTGAAATTTAAATCTATAATACTTGTAAAAAGTGTAAGATTAACATATTTTTTTTTCTACGATACCAAACATTTAACTCAAATCTAAATATTGATTTTACTAGCCAATGAAATACTCTATCAAATGTATTTCATAGGTAGACTATGAGATGAAGGTTTCTAAAACATCAAATACAGTAGTTTTTAGACTTTAGAAGGCTTTATGAAAATTGTTATTTAAGAACACAGAATCTTGAATAAAATGAGTGATTGCCGAATTTCCTACAATCTTTCCTTATCAAGTTATCAGTAGTACACAAAAATGAATCAAAAGCAAAATTTATCATAGTATTGCTGAACATCAGCTAAATGGAGCGTTTTTTGTGCCCGTTATAACTTCTTAAGCGAAGGTCGTAGGAAATATGGTAACCAATCATTTAAATCAGAATTTCTTGCTCTTTAAAATGATACTCCTAGAAACTAATTGTTAGCCTTTTGAGATCTGAAAAATACTTGTGCCTCGTGACAGATTCAACAGACCGATAGCTTCTCACAAATAATGTTAGCTTTCGCTCTGAATCAAAAGCTGGCCTGACGCAGTTTTCGCCTTTGTCATACACCCTAATTAACCATAAGAGCAGATTTATGTCGCAACATAGGCAGCATACTATCAGACGGTTGATTCGAAACGAAAGTGCTTAGTAACTTGTCCAGGGTCATTTCATAACTATTGGTCAGAAACGTTTCTCGCATACTTCATAGGTATATATTAAGAAAGACGTTCTGCTAAAAAGGATGAGCATTTTTCTCTACGAAAAAACTTCATCTTGTTCAGAGATACCACTATCTCAGTATATGCCTAATAATCAAGGGAGAAGAAGCACGACTCTAATACTTCGAAGTACTGAAGTTGAGTTTTTTCCCTCTTACTAATAGTCCATCTGTAAAATTCTGATATAGAATGCATTTGATAGAGAATTTCATTATCTATTCGAACTAATATTTGAACTAGAGTTAAATGTTTCGTATCTTAGCAAAAAACAACATTACTGGTTTTTA